GTTTCCAAGCAGCTTTGCCACATGGTCCCCCCGCCCCCCCCCCAGGCTACTATTTCTATATATGAAGTGCCAGAAAGAAGTTACTCTTATAGTCACACTAATAGGACAGTTTGGGGCCTTCTTTAGTGTTTGGCACAGACACATATCCGTACTGATTTTTTAAAAAAATTGTATGAAAACTTATATTATAAGCGCAGATACTTCATTTATGACTCTACACCCCCAAACAAAACTATAATTTCAAAGCTCCCTTCTAATATTTATCTATTTACCTGTGTTTCCACATGTACTTTTGTCACGTGTACACGTTCCCTTAGGAACCAATTCACAGAGCTGTAAGACTGTCTTACTTTCAAGTTTGTTCTCTAGGCTTATTTTGCCAGCTCCTTGGAGCAGAAATTCCTTTTCTGCTATTAAATCTTGCCCAGTGGCTCAGTATGTGGTCCACTAGAAAGAACAGCCCCACAGATGAGCTCCGGGACCCTCAAAGGCAGGCCATGAGATTGGTGCTTCTAGCACAGAACCTTCTGGGGTAGTGCCACTCACTGGGATCCTCGTGCTCTCCAGAGGACAGTATTCCCGTGGGGACCAAAAGCAGCCCTCAAGGAAGAGTACCAACCTGAAACTGATGCCAGTCCTGTGAGAAATATGATTTCACCACAAACGATTTTATATTTGCCTGGTTAGCAGTCATTGTTGACCTGCCTTTCAAGACCGAATGTTTCTGAAGCCATTGGCTGCATCTTCCTCATATTAGGATTTTTTTTTTTTTTTTTTTACTCTCTACTTTCAAATTCCCTAGTGTTCTCTCTTCCCCAAATCCATTTGCTTCTTTTCCTAATCTAGTCAGATCATAGATGTGGCACAAAACATATCAAAATTTATTAAAATGTGAAAACTCTTTGACTCTTAAGCCACCTCAAATATAATTTGCCTGGATGGTGTCAAAACTTAATATCCTTTTTGAGGTTTTTTGGTAAAACTGTCATAGCTGACTTTTGATATCTAAAGCAAATTCTATCTGCACATTTAAGTATTCCACTGGGAGATTTATGTCACTGACTTTAATTGCAAAGCACACATCCTTTTCGGAATCTCCCTTATGTATATGCCCCATCACCGGGGTTACACTACAGAAGACTCAATTTCTCTGTAAAATTTCTTTTAAACAAATCTAGCATTCTTGTTACTTCCAAAATGGCTATTGCTCTGGAAACCATTCCTTCCAGATGAAATCCCAGAGAATGGTCTGGATTGTTTCGTTGTACTGTAATGAAATTAGACTAAGGTGAATATAGCTTAAAATATGTATTCCGGGCCATGTGGAACCGTTACTCGTATTGTTGGCACGGTGTGCATGAATCACAAATGTGATAATGTATAGGGGGTGCTCTGAAATTGTAGGGAGCAGCACAAATGTGTAGTTGACATTTCCCCCTAAAATTGCCTTCTGGATACCAGGCACACAGAGATTTGAGACGAGGACCATGACAGCAATTTTTGGCTTTCTCACCTCTCTCTTCACACTCTGACAAGGCCAGAGTAGCTCGGAGTCGGCTGGCCAGTTGCTGGAACCAAGCCGAAGACCCTGCTAGGACAGACGGCACCACTGAGTTTGTTTCCTCATGGGAACAAGGACACTTCACATAGTCGTGATAAAGGTTAAATGAGATTATGTTGGCGAAGTGCATAAGCACCGGGAACATACTGAATGCTCAACAAATGAGAACTACAATGTCAGTTTCCGACATTGACAGGCCGGAAAATCCCAGTCGCTAAGTCAGCTTCAGCTCCTGCTAAGGATTTCCAAGAGCCCTTAAAGGGGTGGGAAACTATTGTCCGTTGCTGAGCGAAGAGCCGGGTCCTCATGCCTCTGGAATCCTTCAAGGGAAACGTCGGCTCGCTGTGTGGAGCCAACATTTTAGCAGGCGTGGTTTCCAGGAAGAACCTCCAGGCCCGGGCGGAGCTAGAGGCCCAGTGCTCCAGAAGCCCGGGGCCGTACAAATAAGATATGAGTATGCTGAGGTACGCCAGCTTCCCAGGCGATGGGAGGGGGCCTGCCTGGACTGGCAGAGCCCTTGAGGAAAACCGAGAAGACATGAAGACGATGCGGAGGCACAACTGGCCTACTGGACGGAACCGACCCCGACAGAATTCGCGCTGGGAGATGTCCCTTCCCCAGTAGGGGGATCTCGCAGCCCCCCTAGCGCCGCCTGTCGGTCCCTTGGGTTCTGCTCCGAAGGTGATGAAGGGGTGGGTCGTTGGCAGCATTCAGGGGCTCCTTCTGAACTTAGGAGCCAAATGGTTCTTGCCAGCAATACCACCTTGTTTTACAGGTGGGGAAGCTGAGACTCAGCGGTTAAACCTTTTCTCCAAGGTCTTAGTACTAGTGACAGCAGCACTCAGTTTAGCGGGTTTTATTCACGTTTTGTT